ACACGTACTGCTCTTTAACATAGAGTGCTACACTGCCCCCTTTCCTCCCTACTCTATCTTGTCTATACAACCTATAGCCCTCAATGTCTACTGCCCAGTCGTGTGTAGAATCCCACCAGGTTTCTGTAAGCCCAACCAGGTCTGGGTTTTTGCTAGCTAGTAGGAGGACAAGTTCCTCCTGCTTATTTCCAATACTTCTAGCATTTGTGCAGAGGTAATTGAGATCTTCTATGAGTGTTCATGTTGCCCTCTTGTTCCCAAGCTTGCCCGGGTCATTGTCACTTACCTGGGTTGTTCCTGCTCACATCGCCTGGCTTGACGTAGAAGTGTCCTCCTCTGCCTCTGCATCCCCATACCCCGACGAACCTAGTTTAAAGCTTACCGTACGAGGTCAGCCAGCCTAGAAGAGAAAACATGCTTACCTTTCGGGGAGAGATGTAGCCTGTCCCGCCCTAGCATGTCTCCTGCGCAGAAGTGCGGGTCGTGGCCAAAGAATCTGAAGCCCGCCTAGTAACACCAGCTCCAAAGCTGCTGGTTGACCTTTCCGATGCAGGCCTTATGGAGCCATCCACGTCTGCTCACTGGAAGAACAGATGAGAAAACCACCTGCGCTCCTGTCTCCATAAGCTTGGCCCCCAGAGCCTTGTAGTCTCTCATGACACGGTCCAGACTACTCCCGGCCGTGTCATTAGTGCCCACATGGATGAGAACCAAGGGGTAGTGATCAGAGGGCCAAATGAGGTCCGGAATCATTGCTGTGATGTCCGGAATCCAAGTCCCGGGCAGGCAGCAAGCCTCCCGTGCCATGGGATTGAGGTAACAGATGGGGCCCTCCATTCCTCTCAGCAGGGAGTCACCCATGATGAGGACCTAGTGTCTCTTCCTCTGGGTGTTCCAGCATCACTCAGTCTGCTCCGCTGCGTGGAGTGGCATCGGCTCCTCTGGAGGCATCCTCACCTGCCTTGTCCTCCAATGCTGCGAGAGCCTTGTACCTGTTCTCCAGGTATACCCGGG